CGAAGGAGACTGGTAATGGTCCAAATTGATCATAATTGGCGATTCGGACAACCACGACCATGATATTAGTGTAGCCACGAGAGCAGGAAAGGCCAACAATGAAGTCCATGGTCACATGATCCCATACCTGAGGAGCAAGCCAGCAGGAGGTTGAGTGGAGTACTCAGTTATTTGGCATACACGGCATGAACGGATGTGTTAAAGGCTTGTCACAAGCCTAACAAATTAGTACCTAAGTACCAACAAATACTAAACTTAATGAAAAGGGTAGTATAGTGGGAAGTGGGAACTAGGGTCATTCTTACACAGAGAGGGTAGATTGTTTGTTTCTAACTAGACTGGTCACTAAACACACACACACACACACACAATGGGAGGTTGATTGAATCGGAGGGAAACTAAAGATAAAGTAAAACCAAACTAACTCTACGAGCTTCAATCCCTAGAATGTATGGACAGATACTGCTTTATGATATAGAGTTCTTAGTGTTAAAAAACAAATTCAAAAGCTAGATCAACTAAAACTAAAAGATAAAAGCACGAGCAAATAAGAGAGAGAGAGAGAGAGAGTAAACAAAATTGGATTTGAAACTTTTATTAAGAAAAGCAACTTGGTTTGGTTTAGAGGTTTGCAAAATCATGACACTTTATCACTAGCAAATTCCTTTTAATTCTACCTCAATTTTTATATAAATTCACTTAAAAAATAATTTCAATCAAATATCTTTAAAAAAAAGCAGCTTAAAATGGGACTGAGAGTACAAAACAACACTGAAAAGCAATACCGAAGCAATTCGAGTCCCTTGCATGGCCTGAGAGATGCTGGAAAATGCTGTTCGCAGCCTGCTATTGGCCTGAGACTCGCCTGATTCTCCTTCCTACCCAGCTGCACTACGTATCCTTGTCGAGAACAGAATCGGCGATTCCTCTGCTCCTACTCGTCTCAGTTGGTCTGCTTTCCTCACTCGATGTTAGCCGAAGAAGAATGATCGCCGACCGTCCTTCCGTCTCTGCTCTGTTTCTGCTGAAGAATCGCCAATTGTCCTCCGTCGACGCTCCTCTCCCTCCAGTATGTGTATTATCGAAGAAAAATATCCATTAAATCTCGATCAAGCTCGCCGTCCCTCTCCCCCCTCCCGAATCTTGCTCATCAGTCTATACTCACCCTTTTATCACAACTGGGCTTAGGCTACAATAATTAAGAAATAGGGAGTATAACAATTAGGAAGCCCATTAAAAAAATTGTGCTCCATATCTAAATAATTTTGTTTTTTTGACATCAGCATTAGTGGTTAGCATTAGCATTTTGAACAAAATATCTGAAGTTAGCTTTAGGTCCCAAGGTCTTTGCAATGAATTAAAGCATAAAGCACAATGGTTAATTAATAGTGCAAAAGATTATTAAAACACTCATTTGAGTTAGAAAATACTTGTATATTTTAATTACTAAAATACACAAATTTAGAGAATATGCACAATATCCGTGCCGTAGGCATTGTGATTGAATGCACTCTAAGGCTTGCATTGTGTGGACACTAGGAGTGTTCAAAAATATCCGATCCGAAATATCCGTCCACGATCCGGGCCGATTCGATCCGAAAAATGGATATCCGATCTGATATTTTAGCTTTTGGATATTTTAGATTGGATACCCGAAAAAATCGGATCGGATTTGGATTCAATTTATAGAATTTTTCGGATAACCGGATATCCGTTTTTTTTTTGCTATATATTTTTGGAATTATATATGGATATATATTATGACTATATGTTTAAATGTAATTTTATGTTGATTTTGGAACTCAACGATTTTGGTCTTTTTGCATTAGCATTTTAGAATCTTTTGTTTTAATAATGTTTTTTTTGTTTGTTTAGGCAAAATTACCAAAGTTACTCCCAAATTAAATTTGGTATCATTTTTTATTAGGCAATTACTTAGTGGTGAAATTTTTCTTTTAGTAAATCTATATTAAATTTGATATTTTGGGTTGATTTTGCTATTTTACCTATTTTTTGGAAAATTTTGGCTAAAAACTCAACTTTTCGGATAATCCAGTGATCCGATCCGAAAAATAGGATATCCGAATTTCGGATATCCGAATATTTTCGAATTGGATATGGAATGAGTTTTACATGATCCAAAATTTTCGGATATCCGAATTTTCGGATCGGATCGATCCGATTGAACACCCCTAGCGGACACCATTAACTTTTATTTTTTTATCGAATAGAGTTATGTTTTCGTGCATAAACTCACCCATTCCACCCATTCCGACTTGATAAGATTTTATTTAATTTTTTAAAAACCCTAGATATCCTTATCTTTTATCAACTTGGGGTGCGTTGAAGTTGTAGTGTAGATCCAAATTCTCTTCATTTATTTTTTTAATTATTTTATATTTTTAATTTCAATTGCTTTTGATTTTTTTATGCATTTGAGAGTTGGGAAAAAAACTCATATACTCTTATAATCAAGGACTAAATATGAAAAAACTCATGTTATAAAGGACCATTTATGGAATTTACTATTAAAACTTTTAAGTTTGTATTTTATAAAGAGTTTGAATTAAAACCAGCCAAGGGAATCTTTATATGGTACAACCGGCTGTACAAGAAGTATGGTACAACTGGATAGTACTCGTTTTGAAGTAAAATACTACTCACTTTAAAGTAAAGTAGTACTCATTCTCGTACAAAACATAAATGTTTATTTTGAAATAACGTAGTACCCATTTTGAAATAACGTAATACTCATTCTTAAATAACGTAGTACTCATTTACACACATTTATTTAATACAATTATAATGTTCATTTACGAATAACATAGTGTTCATTTTGAAATAAAGTAGTGTTCATTCCCAACTAACTTACCATTCATTCCACCATCGCTGAAGCCTCTGAAATCTGCAACCCTTCTTCCTCGGTGAAATCTTCCATGTAGCCAGACCTCGGGTTTCGACATCGACAACTTCCCCAATCAGTAATGCCGCTACCTAGGGGTTTTGCCACCATCTCCTTCTTCGATTTAAGTTTCGTTGTCTTTGTCAGAATCGTGTTCGCTGCTCCTTGCAATTGTCTTCTCTATTCCTTGTGGTTTCGTTACTCCATCGAATCGCAGTTGATGGTATCGAGACAACTAGCTGTAAAATGAGAGATGGATGAAGTAGGAAAATGTCACTGCTCCCACGCATTTCCATGAGAGTGTTTGTGAGTGCTGTGAGTCTTGAAAAAGTAGATGTGCTAAATCAGAAGTAGAAAGTAGTTACTCTAAGTTTAGTAAAAATCATTTCTAGAGCCAATTTATATTTCTCAAATCTCAATTCATAATCAAAATCTCATTGGAAAATACTCCCTCCGTCCAAAAAAGAGCTTCCCACTTTCCTTTTTCGTCCGTCCATAAAAAAACTTCCCATTTCTATTTTAGGAAAGTTTTTGAGAATGAAAAGTCATTTCTACCCTCATCCTCTCCTTCCTCTCCCTTTCTTCCAACCGTTTCTTTTTTTCTTCCTGTTCTCCTTCTTTTTCATTCTTTTTCTTATTCTTTCTTCTTCTTCTTTCTTTTTTCTTTCTTCCGTTCTTTCTTCTTCTTCTTCTTTCTTTCTTCCTTTTTTCGTCATTTCTTCTTCTTCTTTCTTCTTCATTTTTTTGTTTTTTCTTCCTTCTTTCGTCAACTAAAAGAAGTTTTTTTCCAGATCTGGTTGCATCTTCGCCAGATCTAGATTTATAGTCACAAATTTTTTTAATTTTTTCAAGATCTGAAGTGGGATCTTGATTTTCTTCCTCAAGAAGTCTGGAAATAGATCTAGGGACTGCGACGACAAGGGATGCAAGTTGCGACGGTGAGAGGATGTCAGGGGCTACGATGGCGGGGCTTTCGACGGCGTCACTGCGAGAGGATGCCACGGGCTATGACGGCAGGGCGCTGCGATGGCGGGGCGTTCGACGACGGGGGATGCAGAAGCATCATCGGCGGTGGTACTGAAGCGGCGGCGGTGCAGAAGGGTCAGCGTCGGCCAGCGTCGGGCGTGGTAGATGGCGCGTTCCTTGTGGGGGTGTGGGCATAGTTTTAAAAACCGGACCGGACCGGCCGGTTCGGACCGTGAACTGGCGAACCGATGGTCCAACCGGTCTAAACCGGTAAGAACCGACCGATCGGACAGGTCCGACCAGTTTTTTTTTTTTTTTTTTTGCTGATTTTTTCCAAACACATGCCTCCGTAGGGGTTCGAACACAAGACCTTTTAGATGTTTGGTTGAGCTCCTAACCATCCAAGCAACGATGCTATTTGTTACAAGTTCACATAATCTTTTATAATATTTCATAATTACAAAAAAGATTGTATATAAATTCCTTTTCAATTTTATACATATAATATTATATATCTATGAGTCAAAATACAAAATCATTGATATTATTGATACTATTACAAAATGCAAATCATGCAAAGATTTCGTGTTTTTTAATATTAAACAACTTATTTGAAAAAAATAAAATCAACTCTTCATTTAAATTTGTTTTATATTTTTTTTAATATGTAAATTTATTTTTTAATTTAATAAAATAACTGAAGTATATTAATATAATATTACTTGAATGTTATAAATTACTTTCTTTAGATATTTATAAATGAGAATGTGCGTGTCTATATGTATGTATGTATGTGTATATAGATACACACACACACACACATATATATATATAATTTTTAAATATGTTTAAACCACCGGCTCGACCAGTTCAACCACTGGTTCGACCAGTGAACCAGTAAACCAGTACCTTGACCGGTTCGGTCACCGGTTCGGTTCTGAAAACTATGAGTGTGGGGGTGTACAGAGTAGAAAGGACAAGGAGTATAATGGGAAAGTCAACACAATTTTCATCACACATAAAATTTCATTACCAGTCAAACTGGGAAGTTTTTTTTGGACGATTTAGAAATGTGCACAAAATTATTTTCAAAACACACTTACCAAACACTAGACCTTGGAGTAAACGGGCGACGTCTACGGTCTATACGGTGGAGGATCCATTTTTATGGCCGCCTAGAAATTGCTATCACCATAACCCTTGTATTTGTTTCTCTCTTAGCATCGTCCGCCTTGGCAGGTAAGGAGTAATTGTCGTTATCTCCCTCGCCTACTTCTCTGATTGAATAAAGATGGATCGAAAGCTATGTATACATATTTGGCTTGCAGCTAGTTTTGGGAGGAGAAAAAGGATGTCGGGTCTTGATGAGAAACTCCGACAGCTAGAACAAGACCTGCAAGCAGCCTTATCAAACTGTGCTGCTGAAAGGAAGGGCCGCATCAGAGCTCAGCAGGTGCATCTTCTTCCTTTTTTTTATGTAATTTTGAGTAGATTTTCTCAGGAGATAATAAGCAAAATTTGGTGAAACAAAAATTGAGGCGTGGAAGTTGTGATCGAAACAAGAAGTAGCTTTGTGCTTCGTCCCCCCCCCCCCNCAATACAAGGTTCCCACAAATATTTTTCACCAGGGTTTTTTTGGGAGCCACAAATGTGTGAAACAAGGTGCCATTTTTTTTCTACAAACTTTTTACCCATAAAAGGAATGAACCCGTGTGACAAACACAAGTGAGATCGTTCTTGGCAGGGGTACTATTAATTGACCTAATATTATAATGTTGTGATGTGGCTGCCTCTATTGCTGTGTGTCGCTGTTCACCCTGGCGGAAGCAATTCATTGGCCAGGGAAAAGAGCATTTATAAATATTAACACCAACTTTTCAAATAGATTCTACCACACAATTTTCACTTTTTTATCAACTTTTCAACACTTTTCTTTATTTCTATGAAGTCAAACTCTTAGTTTCATTTGCAGGCAGAGGGAATATATATACTCCCTCCATACCGTTGGATTCTTTACACTATTATTCATGGAGTTAAACTATTTCTTCTTTCTTTACATATTTTCATATATCATTTGATAAAATAATATAGTCATGTCACCTTTTATTTGTAGATCTTTTGATGTAATGATTAAATATGTACATTTTATTTTGAGTAAATTCCATAATTGATCCTTATAACAAGGGGTTTTCCCTATTTAGTCCTCTATTATATAATATTACCTTGGTGGTCCTTTTTTTATGGGTATCTTTCCATAAATAGTTCTTTCTTGATTTTTTGTCATGTTGGTGTTAATTTAATGGCTATAAGTGTAATTTCACAATAATTTGATAGAACTCAAGAGTAGTAGGGAAAATAAATGAAGGATAGTTTTTATTAAATTATGAAATCAACATCTAACTTCATAGAATAATAAAAGAAAGTCTTTATCAAAATATGAGCAAGAATCTTAAACTTATATAAGTATTAAAGCAAAGGAGAATCTCTAATAATAAATATTGAATTACTTTCTGGATAACTTGTGCAAATAACGAGCCTCAATATTTATAGAAGCCAGATGACTACCAATCCCTAGAATTAAGGCCCACTACCATATTATCTAGCAACTATTCCTAGTCCTTAGGCACACTACAACATTACTTAGCAACTACTCCTAGAATTTAGGTCCACTTACCCATTATTTACTACTTAGTAACTAACATATATATAATAAAACATCTGACCAGACTAGTATAGATACTAATTACATAAAATAACAGCATAGGTGGCACTCTATCATTATCCCTTCCTTCAAAATTTGCGTCCTCAAGGCAAAATATGGACAACTTCTCTATATATCTGGAGTTTTTGGCAAAGGTGGCTGGAAGACAATATAATGAAAAACTCCAATGAAAGCAGTGGTGCTTCAAACAAAAGGGTTCACATAACAACTTCAAGGGTAAATTGATGCATGACGCTACCATCCAAAAGTTCATGAAGCTTTATCAGTGATGCTACAGAATTTCCCAGGATGGTTTTGACACGTATAGAAGAGTTTTGTAACCCCAAATTGGAGGCATTCTCAACAGCACTTGTCATAAGCATCATGGCTTCTTCACTAGCCAATTTTATAGGTGAGAATGGAGAGGTTTGATAGTGGTAATCATTATGAATCATACCTTCATAATGGAACAACATCGACTCAAATTGCTGTTGCCAATTGCCATCCATGAGAGATGTTCTAGCCAGGATCATGGAAGGACACTCTGAAGACAACATCACTGCATTCATTGTGAGGCCTTGACTTAGAGTTGCAATTGAAAGTCTCTTGTCATCACGTAGGAAATTACTTGTTGGATGTGAGTAATTGAAGCGGTTGGCTGCAATGGTAAGGTGTTTGGGCTTACGAAGGAATGTAGCCCTGCCCATACTCACCATAGTTTGTGAGGCGGCAAGGCGAGGCGAGGCGCCAATGTACCTTCATATCGCCTAGGCGACTAGTCGTACGCCTAGTCGACGACTAGGTGACATACATACCTATATATATATATATATATATATATTTCAAACGTATAGCATAGGCATAAGAGCTTTAATTAGATTAAACTCAGTTCAATGCATACATCGGCAGATAAAAAAGGTAAAAAAAAATCAAATCGGAGAGTATTTGCGCAGCGATCTCTACACAGAACCTGAGTTTCGAGAAGAACCACCTGTTCTTTCCGGATTTGAACCGCTCTTCTAGCCGAGATTTGGCCTCCTTGGCAGCGGTGACTCTCTTATGACGCGACTGGAGGCAATCCGGAGTGATAACGTCCTTCAAATCCACGTCCAGAGTGTATCGCGTCGGCATAATGTGGTTATAGTTGACGATCTTGACGAAAGCCTTCACGCATGACTTCTTCGCCGAGTCCTTGCGGATGATCTTGCTCGGGTACTTGCAGATTCCGGCTACGAGGCAGTGGCCGTAGCAGCGTTCGTGAGTGCCTTCGTCAAAGGACTTCACGATGACCGCCTTCTTCCCGGCATATCGGCCCTGTAGGAGGATGACGACCTTGTTCGGCTTCAGGAATTTCACCATTTTCGGTTGTGCTGCCGCGGGGCTGGGAGAGGTGAAACCCTCATTTGTATATGTGTGTATATATATATTTGTATATGTATATATAGGTCTTTTACATTTTAAGGAAGCTTTACAGAGAAGATTGAGAGAGAGAAGATAAGTTTAAGTCTATTAGGCTACACTAAAAGAAAAAGAGCTGCACTAAAAAATGGGTTTTTTCAAAATTTTAAAGGGGCCCAAGGCATCAAGGCGAGGTAAGGCGAGGTAAGGCAAGGAAAGGCGACGGCTAGGCGAGCGCCTGGTCGCCTTTAGGTTTTCTAGGCGAGGCGAGTAGACAAGGCGACGCCTTATAAACTATGATAGTCACATAAATTGCGGTACGTTTCGGTACGGGTACGCGGTACGGGTACCAAATTCGCTAGAGGTAACAAATTCGGTACGAAGGGGGGTAGGTTCATATCGGTACGAAGTGGTACGGTGTACCATGTATTCGGTTCGGCGTACCAAACGTCAAAACATAAGTAAACAAAAATAGATAAGATGAGCATAAGTGCATAACATTACAAAATCCAATTGAAAAACAAGACATCATCTAAAATATTCTAATCTAGACGCTGCCTTTTTCCTCTCCCATTGTCAAAGCCTTCATCATCAAGGTCTTCCCAAACCATTTCTTCAAGGCGAGCACTTGAACCTTCTATATATGCATTTTCAGGATTCACGTCCCAGTTTTTGTGAGGGCCTGATTTGTAGGACTTTGAATAAACACAAGTTTATCGGCTCTCTTGCAATTTAAGCGATTCCTCTTGACATTATGGATATAGGAGTATCTACTCCAGTTTCTCTCCGCCGGAGCTACTAATTGGCTGAGACAAAACTTTCTTAGCTATTTCCGCCAATTCAGGAGTCTCTGATCCATATGTTGCCCACCAATCAATTGGATCCATTGTCACTGCATCAGCTTGTGTTGCTGCCCTAGAGTAAATCCCTTTCTTCATATGAAAGGTTGCAAATTGTTCTCTTAATACCTTGTTTTCATGAGCATCTTCAGCAATTCTTTGAAATGCTTCCATAACACCAAGTACAACTTCTTTGTCTTGGTTTGGTGCTTTTCTTTCCATGCCACCAGGAGCCAACTTTTCTAAGTAGTACTTATCATAAAATTTTGGATTTAAAGCAAAACCCAAACAATGAAGTGGGATTGTCATTTTCTCCCACCTATTTAAAACAATTCTTTGAACCTCGGAAAAAGAAGATGAGTACTTATTTTCCATCATAGCATCTTTGATTTCTCCTACCATGTTATCCATTTTTTCATAGATTTCTCCCATTTTTGAACCTTCCCCATTACAAAACTTCACCATCAAAAAATGGGTTTTGTAAAAGCCAAAATATTCTCAACATCTTCCCAAAACACATCATCTCAGCGACAATATATCCAGCTGTTCGCATGTTTTCATCCCCACTTTTGACCCATTTCCGCCAAGAATTGAGGATTATTGTGGTGGAAAGTGCCTCCCTACAATCGATTAACCTTCTCAAAAGTATATAATGTGATGCAAACCGTGTTTTTGCAAACTTCAACAACTCCAACTTTAAGTTTCCTCTAAAGAATGACAAGGCATGGGTATGGTTGAGAAAATATTTTACAATTGCCTTGCCTTTCTTATATGTGTTGTGCAGCCATGAGACCTTTGCCATGTCTTTAAAAATCAGATTTAAGGTGTGCCCGCAACATGGAGACCAAAAGATATGCTTATATACCTTCTCGATTTCCCTCCCGGCTGCTTTACAATTAGCCGCGTTATCAGTTACAACTTGCAAGACATTGCTTGGTCCAATGGTCTCGATGGCTCCAAGAAGAAACTTAGAAATCTCAACACCTGTTTTTTCCATCCCTAAAAAGTCCTCTGCATACATAAACATTGCACCACGTGAATTGACACCAAGAACATTGATTAGTGGGTTATGTTTAACATTAGACCACCCGTCCGAGACAACTGAGACTCCTTGTGTGTACCAAGTGTCTTTAAAAGTTGTTAGCTCCTTCTCAACATCGCGTACACATTCATCAAGCAATACAGTTCTCGCCTTTTCAGAAGACGGGGGTTTGTATCCAGTTGGTGCTTGCTGGATGGCACTAATTATTTCAAGAAATTGCGGGTTACGTAATACATTGAATGGAATCCCGTTTGCACACAATCCTTGAATGATTTTCATATCCACATCATTTCTCTCCAACATGCCAAAAGATTCTTCAAGTCGTTTCTTTGAATATGCATTTTTGGAGAGTACTGAATTCCTTAAAGATTTTGAAACTCCAGAAGTTTCTGCTTCTTTTACCTTCTACAAAAGCCTTTCATACATCTCCCAATTTTTACATATGGCTGGTCATCTTTTTATCTCAGCTTTTTTTCCCGCGGCAGGCCCAAAAAAATGGACATGAATTGGTGTAAGTGCTAGTTAACTTGCCCTTACAATGATTACAAGTCCACTGTTTAGGACCTCCAGGATTCTTGCTATTTCCTATAACATTCAAGTAATAAAAAACAAATGGTTAAACAAAACATAAAAAATACTATTAAGTATTAACATATGAAATACTAGAGTAAATGGAGTAATAGAATAAATGGAGTAATGGACACAGTGACACACTCTCCTAAAAAGGTAGCACAGTGGTCACTGCCTGCACACACCATGCACACAATATTAAAAATATTGGCCCAAAGCCCGAAACTATTTTTAAAAAAAATGATAACAAAAGAAACTTAGGGAAAGTAAAAAAAATAGATTGTTAAAATTTAAAAAGCAATTTCATTCATTTTAGAAGAAAAAAAAAATGGGGCTAATATGGGGCTTGTTATTATCCTTCTCTTCAAAATTGGTGGGAGCGCGACTTTGACTTTGGCTAGAACTCTCAAATTGTTCAACAGCTACAACTTCTTCATCAACATCAATATAATTTTGGGTGTTGCTAATATGGGTCTCACTGTTACTATCATATTGAGAATTATGGGCTTATTATTTTTGCCAAAAGCCATTGAAAAAAGAGAAAAAATTACTGGATATTGAGGACTTTAGGTTGGGTTGAGGTGAGACTTGATAGGGTGAGACACACACACACACACACACACATATATATATATATATATATGAGGAGACTCCCTAGGAAAACACGAAACACTTACGGAGAGGAGTCACAGAACAATCGAGAAACAATCGAGACTTTGGGGAAGTGCAATCGAGACTAGGAATGACTCATACGACACTTTGGGGAAGTGCAATCGCGAATTAAACTTTTCAATTTACGGAGAGAACATTCGCAAATTGGAAGAGGGAAGGTCGTCGTGGAAGAGATGAAATTGCGATTTGGATCGCTGGACCACTGGCGATTGGCACTCCACATTCTCCGACTTGGTGCAACGTTCGAGGGCATCTGGATCGCCGTACCATCATGAATTGGAGCGCTGTACCATCGCGATTTGGATCGCCGGCGACTTGCGATTGGGTACGACTCGTACCAATTCGGAAATCGTGGCTCCGTGTACGAATTCTGTAACTATGGCCCTGCCCTTCTGTTTTTGAATTTTCATTTCCCTTACCTCTAGATGGAAGTTACTAGATGTGATTCTTTTGTAGGGTGTCACAAAATTAACAGTTGTACCATGAATTACTGATGCTGCCCGTTTGAAATTAATGACATCAAGGCGAGCTACAATGTAAAGCAGTTGGTGTACTTCATAAGGAGTATAACTGTTAGATGTGGAATTGTATTGAGGAAATGGAGAAATTGAATTTCTGCATAAGAAACCCATAAAGATCTTATGGCTCTGATACCAAATGATAGAACTCAAGAGTGGCAGGGAAAATAAATGAAGTATAGTTTTTATTAAATTATGAAATCAGCATCTAACTTGATAAAGTAATAAAAGATAAGTCTTTATCAAAATATGATCAAGAAAAACTCGTATAAGTAATAAAGCCAAGGAGAATCTCCAATAATAAATATTGATTACTTTCTGGATTACTTGTACAAATAATGAGCCTCATTATTTATAGAAGCGAGATAACTTCCAATCCCTAGAATTAAGGCCCACTACCACATTAACCTAGCAAGTAGCAACTATTGCTAGTCCTTAGGCACACTACAACATTACTTAGCAACTACTCCTAGAGTTTAGGTCCGCTTACACATTATTTACTTCTTAGTAACTAACATATCTAAAATAAAATATCTGACCTAACTCTATTATAAATATTAATAACATAAAATAATAGCATAGGTGGCACTCTATCATAATCATATATCTTTTTTGTCATACACAATTCCAGAGGCTTCTCTTGAATCCTGATCTGTCGTTTGTGAACTGCAGAAGCTTTCTACTACACCTATAGTCTAGAGATGTGGTCTTTCGTCAGAATCCTAGTCTATAGTCATTATCAATATTGTTGACTTGTCGGTGTGAACGACATCAGATTACGTCATTGGGCATAAGATTAATGTCAAATTACACTTTTAGGCCTCAAACTAAGACCAACATGACCCAATGTCAAAAAAAGACTATTTATGGAAAAGTACCCATAAAAAGACCACAGTGGTATTATTTGATAATAAAGGACTAAATAGGGAAAACCCCTGTTATAAAGGACCAATTATGAAATTTACTCTTTTATTCTTTTATTTTACACCTATATTTAAATAATATGATTTGAAAATAATATCAGTCAAATATTGTAAACCATGTTGTAAAGAAACCAAAGGAACAAAGAGAGAGAGAGTGTATATATATATATATATATATATATATATATATATATATATATGGGATTGACTCTAGTGAGATAACACTGGTGAGATGACATGCTTCAATCAAATGACACAACACACACAACACTGACTTGCAAAGCTCACCTCACTGCAATGCAAAGCTCACTGAAACGCAACACAAAACTCACCACTCTGAACACTAAAACTCACCTTTTTTAATTAAAAAACAAAATAGCACCACCGGTCAACCACCAGTCAACCACTGGTCCACGGCGACAATGGGGGTTACCGATGGTCATGGGTGGTCAAAAGTGTAAAGCTCACCAACTGCCAATAGAAAGCTCACCAAAGAACAATGCAAAGCTCACCACTTTTTTTTAAATAAAAAAAAGTTAAAAAAATAGCACTAACATTCAACCACTAATCGATCACCACTCAACCACCAGTCCACGGCGACAGTGGGGTCATCGGTGGTGGCCATTGGTCATGGGCGGTCAAAGTGTAAAGTTCACCAACTGTGAATGCAACGCTCACCAACTGATAATGGAAAGCTGACCAAGGAACAGTGCAAAGCTCACCACTTTTTTTTTTATTTTAAAAAAAGCTAATAAAATAGCACTACCAGTCAACCACCGGTCCACGGCAATAGTCTACAGCGGTTGGAAGTCAGCACCACCGTCCTTTGTTTTTTTTCGAAGTCATTTTAAACTTTAAAGTGTGGTGAGCTTTGTGCACATGTTCGGTGAGCTTTGCAATGAGAGTCAGTGAGCTTTGTTGCTGGGCTTTGTGAGCATTTAACCATCAAATTTTGAAAAAAAATAATTAGTGTTGGAAAATCATGGTGAGCTTTGCAGTGGATAGTGGTGACTTTTGCAGTGATCAGTGATCAGTGGTGAGCTTTGCAGTGATCGGTGGTGAGCTCTAGCTTCCTGACTGAAACATGTCATCTTACCATAAGTTTTTTTCTTCTCGTGATATTTTGCATGCAAGGTAGGATAACTATTTTTGCCGTTGAGTTTCTAGTTAATCTCCTTTTTGGGACTTTTTACCTATTTATAATTAGATATTTAAGGTTCAACTATGGGAATAGAATTTAAAATTGTCAAATCCTCTTATAAAATGATGTTTTCTTTAATTTTTTCATCAGATTCTTTTAAATTGTTGTGATCTTTTTCCATGATATGATGAATACTTTTTTATTTAATGTTATTATGAACATAGAATAAAGTTTTAGGCATTGAATTTTGGGGAGGGAATTTGGCATGCAACGTAGTGAAAATCGAGATATTGAACCTTAGAAGGGGGAGTTATCCGGGCATTGTAGGTGTTATTGAGTTAAATAGGCGTAATTGATTTAAACTTAATTATCTAACAAATAAAGTATGCCATAAGTTATGATGGTTGCGGTTTTTTACAATGTGAACTTGTAAATATGAAAATAAATTGCAGGCATTAAGGGAAGAATTGGCCAAGGCTTGTTCTAATGATCCCGAGTCAAAATCATTTCCGATGACACCTATAGCTACCATTCAATCATGTTTCTCTACAAGGTAATCTTTGAGAGTTTTTTTTTGGAGAAAGTTTTTATTATTAAAAGGAGTAAAAGGAGCCGATATGAGCCAAAGCCCCTAATATTACATATGATATATGTAAGGGTAACTAATGACATCAAATTTAAGAATCCCCATGAGGCCTGAAATCATAAGATTGTCATAACTGTTGCAGTTGTGTCTTCAATAGGCCCTATTAAGAAAAATGGTTAGCAACTTTGTTAGATGTACTAAAGATCCATCTCCATCTGCAACGCCAGCTATAGCTATATCTCTCTAGGGCCATCATAATATTTTCAATCTCATTATGGACTCTACGATTTGTAGGGGACTGTTTGTTTTGGATTTGGCCACATCGATTATATCACATTCCATCGTCAATTCCTTGATGCCTTTAGAGTTTAGTCTCCACAGTCGGCACAACTAATGGAAGTTCGATAGTTAGAAAAATAGCCCACATAATGCATTGGTCCTGATAATAGTGAGCCCAGAAAATAGGGTCCCAAAGCTGTTTCAGAGGATGGCTCAACCTCCAGTACCACCTTTACTTGATGCGCTGTATAAGAGATATTGAGCTTGTAGGATCCTCAGCCAGTGGGAGCCACCTACAAAGAATCACCATGGGTCATTTATTCTTTTTGCATGAATACAGTGTAAATCATCCAAGATGTTACAAACTGTAGCCTCAAAGCTAGGGGTTTTATCCTCGTAAAGAAACTTATTCCTGTCTTTTCAAATATTCCAAATGATGGATATGGGGCTAAAGATCAGGAGATCATTTTCTCTAACATGAGCACAGGTAAAGCAATTACTTTGAATGACATGCACATCAGGGTCATCGTCCCTATTTGGGAGAGACTTAATGAGTAAAGAAGTTCCAAATCGTTGCGCTAAACCTGTAATGAAGGAAGTAGTGATCAATAGTATCCAAAGTATTGCAGAAAGGACATTTCAAAGGTCCGAGGTACCCAAAAGTACTGAGGGCGTTAGAGAGACGCCATAACATAAATGAGATCTCTTTGGGATCCCTTTACTTCAAACATTCTTGGACAGATCAGAAATAAGAGTTATACTCCCTGTAGGTGTTATGGGTGGATTTCATGGCAAAGTTCTTATTTGAATTCAGTAACCAAATGGCAACATCTTTAGTGCTAGAAAAAACAGTAAACGTATTGGTCAGGTTTAGACAAATGTCCGGCAGGATATGATGGTTTTTATGTGTTAATTCTAGGAAGAATATCGCCTTCAAAAAAATATTCTAGCAAGAATATCACCTTTTGCATAGGTGATTTTTAATTTTTAATTTTTATTTTTTTATGGTTTGCTAGTTTATTTTAATGTCTATAGTAGGGTTCACTTTGCAAGTGATTTTCTTTTAGTTTTTGACTTATTTGTCCAAAAATATATGGAAATTTATTGTTGGGATTATCAGGATCATTTGTATTCTTTAATCAAAATAAGGACAGGATTGGGATTTTGGTACTCGAGATTGGATACTTTCCACCCCTCTCGGTACGAGGTATGGTTTGTGTATATCCAACCTTCCCCAAACCTTCCTAGTGAGATTACATTGAGTTTGTTGTACTGTTGTTTGCGGGTTTATGCTGATCCATAAATATGTTGGAACTAATTTATGTTTATATNTATTTTAATGTCTATAGTAGGGTTCACTTTGCAAGTGATTTTCTTTTAGTTTTTGACTTATTTGTCCAAAAATATATGGAAATTTATTGTTGGGATTATCAGGATCATTTGTATTCTTTAATCAAAATAAGGACAGGATTGGGATTTTGGTACTCGAGATTGGATACTTTCCACCCCTCTCGGTACGAGGTATGGTTTGTGTATATCCAACCTTCCCCAAACCTTCCTAGTGAGATTACATTGAGTTTGTTGTACTGTTGTTTGCGGGTTTATGCTGATCCATAAATATGTTGGAACTAATTTATGTTTATATTTGATTACTACTGTTTTGTACTATGTTCAAATCCAAACAATTTCGCTGCACGTGAATACTATTGTTTTTAATTTTCTTCTCATTTCACATTTTTTTGAAAGCAAATTATGTTGTTATGCTGCCCTATTTATGCTCTATGCATGGGTTCAGAAACGGAACTCCACGACAGCCTCTATTAGTGCCCCTCGCAAGAGCACGCTTATTGTTTGATAAAACTCGAGTTCAATCGTCTTCTCTTGAAGGCCTTGAAGGATATTCCCATTGCTGGATTGTTTACGTTTTTCATCAGAACACAAATCTCGAGAAGTTATGGGAGAACCCTTCCCACTCAAAGTTCAAGGCAAAGGTCAGTTACATGATTTTAAGATTTCTTAATTTCTCTAGAATTGATAGACATATATTCTATTATATAAGTGAAGGTAAGAGTTCCAAAGTTGAAAGGCAGGAGGATGGGTGTCTTTGCAACCAGATCTCCACACCGTCCATGTCCCATTGGGCTCACAGTTGCAAAGGTACAACTGAATGCTCTACTTCAACTTTTTACCATATGTGGTGAACTGGTTTCTCATTTATTTGTCCAATATCGTTCATTGATCAAGAGGGCACTTTTTTTATAATTCCTTTTGTCTCGGGATTTTCTTTGTGTGTTTACATGGCTTGCTTTTTTAATAAAGTATTAAAGTAAAAACTCTTTAGTTGAGGTTTATGCCAAGAAAGAGAAATTGTATGGATCCCACACAATTTTTTCTCTAAACGGAAAGAAGAATTTTTTTAAAGTCATATAAAAAAAAGAAAAAAAAGTAGAAAATTGATTGGATAGAATATTTCTTATAATTTTCAAATCCTTCTCTTCGAAATACAACTTTTAGGCCATGTTCTCTTCAACTTATTTCTGCTACTTATTCTTAGTGGAATCAAATCAGATCAGATTAACTTAGGTCAAATCTAGTAAATAGTAATCCACTTATATCAAATTTGAAAAGTACTAAAGAATAAATTATGTTAAAATAATAATAATAATACTAATTTAAATTCGAATTAAAATTCAAATAATAATAATAATAATAATTTGAATTCAAATTCAAATAATAACAATAATTACCAATATTATTATTTGAATTCAAATTCAAATTCAAAAAATAATAATCATAATAATAATAATAATAATAATAATTCATATTTGAATCCAAATTCATATCATAATACTAATAACAACAACAACAATAATAATAATTATTTGATTTTGAATTTTTATCAGATTCATTTAGATCAAATCAGATCTATTCTGATTAGATCCATTCAGATCAACCTTAAAAAAAATTAAATTCAGATCAGCCGAAGAGAAAACACCCTTAGTGTAGTGTTTTGATCGTTGTCTATTCATACTTAAGAAAGGGCAGTTCCTCCCGGCATTCGAGTAGGGGCAAGCTTTGCCTACACACACCCTTTCAAGACCGTACTGTCGTGGGATCCGACTTGGTTGTTGTACTTAAGAAAGGTTAGTTGGGTGCACAGAGCATTACAATGAAGTTACTCTTTGAATATCCACAATACATAGTAAGCGATTATTGCGTTTATTGGTGTTTGCTTGCACATTGTTTTCAAAGAAAAAGAAATTTTATTAAATACTTTATGGGAAAATGTATTATCAAAAATTAGATTAACCAATTATGTATTTGCTTAAACATAAAAGAGTGTTGACAGGGAAAAATCATTTAGAATTACTATCTTTTGAGACCAACCTTGTGTGTTATGATACGAGTTATATGACACCACGTCCTACAGGGAAAATAAGTGTTGATAGAGAAAATGCATTCATTCAGAATTACTATCTTTTGAGACCAACCTTGTGTGTCATAATACGAGTTATATGACACCGCGTCCTACAGGGCTCTACGGTGCTCCTTGTATCCCGAAATAGATCCTACCTCGTCTATGTGGGTGCGTAAGGGAATGTTTGTGAACATTTTTCTAACAATAAAAGTTTCATATGTGAAAGCCTCCTATAAAGTTTCATATTTGTGAACATTAGACCAACTAATAATAATTTGAACATGATAACAATTTACCAAAAAATAACTGAATTGAGTTAAAAGAGTTAGCTTCAATGTATTAATTATTAAATGGGACACATTAAGCTGTGTATTGTACCTTTCATGTGTTTTAGGTAGAGTCGGTGCATGGGACTGCTGTTCTTCTTTCTGGCATAGATCTTGTTGATGGCACAGTAAGCATTTTGTTTTTTCTGTTCTAGCCATTGAATGATATGTACCTATCAGGGCATGGTGTTTAGATTTGTAACTCTTTTTTTACTTGGTCTCTATGGACAGCCTGTTCTTGATGTCAAGCCATATCTTCCATACAGTGACAGCATCATGGAAGCAACAGTGCCTTATTGGGTAAAGGTATTGCATGTTGAATAGTACTCTGTACAACTCTTCTCACTCACAACTTAATTATTGTGTGGATGCGTAGGTGTGTGTGTCAATAATCTTTCAAGTTGGATCATTTAAAATATGCTACTTGGCATAAAACACGAGACTTCAAACGTGAACTGTAATTTGAACACTTCTCTCTTGAACATGATTGGAAGAATTTCAAAACTGATTACTAATTTGAGTGGTGTGGAGAACAACTTTAAATATAATTGTAAAGTAAAATCTAGAAGTATGACATGATTCTCACTTTGTTGCAACAATATGGTGAGAAAAGTTGATTAAAGAACATGGTAATAAGTGAATGATATTTAGTTAAGTTTGGATGCCAAGTGAGGTGTGTTAAAGGCAAATATGGAAAGGTTTTGATTGATGCATTGGAAGTTAGAGACCGATGACAGTTTTACTCTCATAGCATTCTGGATGCTGGATAGATTGGGAGCCTACCTCTAGGTGACCTTGGCAAGAGTCATCAGATTTTAGGTACTGCTGTGGCATTAGATAGGAAGGGGCGGTGAGAGCTATTGGCAAGATGGGGGGGGGGGCTTTAGGACCTTATGAGATCTTGATGGAGTTCTGGAAAATTGTCGGCAGAGAGGGGCTAATGTGGATGTGGATCACCTAGTTATTTAATGTTATCCTCAAGTCAAAAAGGCTAAGACGCCTGCCAAGTGGAGGGAGAGTTTGGTGATGCCATTGCTTAAGGCAAAGGTGATATCCAGAACAACACTAGTTATAGAGGCATCGAATTACTTTGTCACACCATAAAGGTTTGGGAAAGAGTAGTGAAGGCATTGTTGCAAAACGAGGCGAGCATTTCCAAGAATCACTCTAGTTCCATGCCTGAAGACCTCTTGAGGAGGCTAATGGAGTAGTGTATGGAAAGGAAGCGAGACCTACACATGGGGTTTGTTGATTTGGAGAAGTTGTGCGATAGATTTCCACGGAGATCTCATGGAGGTGCCTAGAGCATAGAGGGTTGTTGGTTGCTTGCGCACAAAGTGTTAAGGGCATGCATGATGGGTAGAGCTGGCAAATCGGTCGGTCAGGTCGGGTTCAGGTTCAGGTTCGGTCACTTCAATTTCGGGTTATTTCGGGTTCGGTCAACTCGGGTTCAGGTTGAGAATTGTATGTTCATGACCTAGTGTCATCGGGTTCGGGTTGACTCAACGGGTTATGACTTTGGGTTTTTAAATTTTTAAATTCACATTAACACTTACATTTTGTATTAAATAAATTTAAAATATCAAAATATATTCATTAAATCTATTAGATTGTTTTATTTTAAACTTTGAAGCATTTTTTAGATATATAAATGAATATAAACAATTTAAAAAATGCTTAAGTTTTTGAAAAAAGTAAGATAATTATGTAATATCATTAAAAAAAATTTGAAAATATAAATTTACACATAAAAACGAGTAGTAAAGTGTATGATTTTGAAAAACTCTTACTTTAGCGGGTCGGTTAGGTCGGGTTCGGGTTTGGTCGGGTTTGACCCATTTTTGGCGGGTCATTTCGGGTTCGGTCAACTTCGGGTTCGGTCATCAAAACCTTTGTTCAAAACCCAGTGTTTTCAGGTCGGGTTTCGGGTCAAAAACAGGTCGGGTCATTTTTTGCCAGGTCTAATGATGGGGCACAGACCAAGGTGTGGTTGTTTGGAAGCGCGACTCAAATTGCTTCCCACTAAAGATGAGTTTGAGTCTATTCTCAGTGCTTTCGAGTTTGCCTTCGAGGTAGATGTTTTGATGCAGGATACTACCTTCGTCCCATTGTCTTTGTCCACTTTTGACTTTTGGAACTGTTCATCTAAGCACTTTGACTCATCAAATTCTCTCAATGTGTAAGCCAAAAAATAGTCATGTGTGATCTTGTT